CGCACCGACCCGCACCGCTATTAAATCATGTTTTATAAGATTCTAAAAATTCTTTTTTACTTAAGTTTGCTTGTTGTTCTATACCTTAGAATATAGTATTACATTACTGCTCGAGGGGAATTCAAGATGTCAGTAATCCAAAATAAAGTTGGATTCCAATTCACTTTTCAATCTTTTTTTTCTGGCCATGTTGCAAACTTGCATCGGCTCACTTTTCAATCTAAATACTTTTCAACAGTAAACATTTTCAATATGTTGTAAACCCTGAATGATATTAATTTTATATATTGTATTTGATCATTGTACCTTACGCAAATGTTTGTAATGAACTGATGGCATAGTCGTTGATATTATCATGTTGTTACTACACTTGCTGCATCAGAACAAAGCTTCGCAAGATGCTTAACATCATGGTACCTCTTGTTTTTTTTTTACTCTTTGATTTAAGTTTTGTAATTTGAATTATACTTTTAATAAACCGCCAATCCGCCCGAACCGTTAAGGCAAATCTGTCATTATTTGCCAACCGAACCACCGGTTTTTGATAAGAAAAATGGCAAATTTTAGTGACACTTTTATCAATCCGCCACCCGTCATACGGTTTCTATTTTACTCTCAAACCGCACCGACCCGCACCGCGCACACTCCTACCTACAATAATGTGACATAAGAATTAGATCTACCATCAATAAATATGTAATAAATTAAAAATTAATATATATTTTATTACATCATTATAAATAAAATTGTAAATAAGACTCTCAAACATTTTCATTGTGGTTTTGGTGTACTTGTTTCAGGGTCAAAGCCACGCGACTCATGATGATGATCAACTAGTCGCCCAATACCAGCCTGTCCTAGGTGCTACCTTCGAGGACTTGCTTAACACATGCCAGCATCTTCCAAGGTAAAACCCAATTTTCTGTCAAATGAATTTATTTCTTTTTATTTTTGAAAGTTATTTTTAATATTTTTTTCATCTTTTGGTCATTTTTTTAATAAATATTTTATTTTTAAAGTGCATATTAAAATAAAAATAAAAATTTGAATAAAATATAAAAAGAAAAAAAAAAAAAAACCAACTCAAACAAATTTTGAATTTGGAAACGAATGACCTTATGTTCTGAAGGCACTATTCCGTAATTTATGATTGGGTAAATGAACGGTTGGTTTGGAAAGTTAATTAGTTTATTTTTTATAAAAAAAAATGTGTAAAAAAATTTTAAAAAATGATGTCATCATTTATAATAATTTTTAATTTTTTTTGACTATATTAGTCACATATAGTTTGACTTAAATTTAGTTTTTATCCATACTGTTTCAAATTGAATAATTTAGTTCTTATATTTTAAGTCTAATTTCAATTTGATTATTTTGTTCAAATTAGAGATTGAATTAATGAAAATTAATTTCAAGATGTACATGCAGGAAAAATTAATGAAAATTCAAACAGAAGAATCAAATTAAAATTGAACTTAAAGAGTTGGGATCAAATTGTTCAAATTAAAATAATAAGAACTAAAATAAAATTTGAATCAAACTATAAGAGTGAAAAATATAATTTACTTTTATGATTTGTTCATACTCTTTTGTTTTATTTGTTTTTTATTTTTATTTTTTGAAATCAGCATGGGTTTCATTTACCATGCCTATTTTCCTAATTTTTTTTGATGACTGGATATTCGGGTTAAGTTACGCACATTTTAACTACTTTTGGGACTCACGCAAAGTGTCCATCATAGATCGGGCAAATCTCAAATAGAGTCCGCGAATGTCGCCCCCAACGAACGTATTACTTCTAATGAAAGTTGAATTTGAACTTTAAAAAGAATACACTCTTAAGTCTCAAGTTATACCCACTAAGCTAATTTCTTGGGGTTGCCGACTTTCCTAATTAACTGCATGATGGATTTTCATACAATAACTGCTGCTTAAATTTTGCAAAACCTATTGCCAAACAATGGACCTGCTGAGGAATTCACACGGCCTACCAATAGCAATGATTTTGGACTTGAGGATCAAGATGACCATTTGTTCACTGGACGGCCAAATCAACAACTACCTTTGTCTGGTGAGGAAATAGAATAGGTTTGCTTTTTCGCTTTGAATTACAAATTTAAATTAAAAAATAAGAAAAATTATAAAAAAAAGATTTTAGAATTTGACATGTAACAAAATAATTTTAAAATTTTGTCAATTAAACTCTATTTTTTTTAAAATTTGTTTTCGATATAAATTATTTGTCTATTTTCATTAAATAAGACTGATTAAAAAAAATAATATTTTAGTCATTAAACTCAATGTAAGTATACATAAAATGACTAAAATATATTTTTTCGTTAATTTTAATGACTAAAATATCATTCTTGGTTGAATTATTTAACGAAAATAGACAAATGATTTATATTGAAATAAATCAAAAATATTAGGTTTTGAATTGAAAAAAATTAAAAACTCAAGATTCATTTTATTATAAGAGTCAAATTTTAAGATTTCTTTGTAATTTCTTCAAAAAAGTAAATGGATAAGGAATTTAATTTATAGTTGATTCACATTTTCCCCTTTCCTTTCTAAATATGTACTTAAATTTATCATCCAAACACAATTTTTGTGCAAAGGTGGCTCAACCATTAGGCCGCTTAAGCTTTGTTTGGGATGTGGGTTGACTTTTTGATTTTTTTAGCTATTTTAGCCCGGGGCTAAAAAGTCTCATTTGGGATAGGCTTTTTAGTTTTTTTGACTTTTGTGAGAGAAAAAATGAAATAATTATGATTTGGGTTGATATTTTATCTTATTAGCTTTCTAGTCTATTTTGTCTTTTTATGACTATTTTAGCCCCAAAAGCCCAAAAAAAAACTACATGCCAAAGGAAGGCTTGGACTGTCAGCTAATTAGGCTCACAAAAAATTTCAAACAAATTTTATTAGCAAAGGTCCTTTTCAAAAGTTTAATTAAATAAGATATCATTTTGATATTTGGTCTGAAATCTCCAAAAACCTTGAGCCACTACTACCTTTTGTGTTTTGATTAGTTTTTTTTTTTTTAGCATAGACTGTTATTATTGTCCCAACCTAACCCTATCAACACCTCTGCAGAGGAACTCTCATGGTTTCCAGAAAAATATTTGGCTGAATTGAATCTCCCATTTGTAACTGAAGGCCCCGCCGTGCAAACTTCACAGCTGCCTTATTCTGGTGAGGAATTTTTCTTTTATATATAAGCGTTTAAACTAGTTATTAATTGCACGTACTGATAGACAATATTAATTGCGTTTAAATTTCCGGATAAAAGATGGGATTGGATTAAATAATCCTGTACTTGCTTGGTAGCACTCTTCTAATTCAAATTAATTTATTAATTAATTAATCATGGGCACATTTAATCTCGCATACAAGGGATTATTTTTGGCCCGAGTGAAAGAACTTATTCAATAGAACACTTTTTGGTAAATTATTTCTCCTAATATTATCTGGGAATAAGTGTGTGAAAATCCAGACGGACCAATCTGACCCCTCAGTGCTACATTTCACTAAGAAATGTAACAAGGTAGTGAATAGCATAGTTTGCTCAACAATAGTGTGCAATGGCTAGTAGAGGGTAAATTTTCCCTATTTCACCAAGGTTGAATTGGATATGAATATAGTCATTTCTATCTCCTAGTCAGGCCATTGATAATCATGATCTCATTTATTCATTCGATACAAATTTTTGAGTAAATCTATTTTGCAATAGAATTTATAGTGTATCACATGATTCATAATTAATTTTCGATTTGATTTACTTTTTTTAGTTCATGTAACTTTTGAAACTATCATAATCGATAGATTTCAATTCTTTCTATACATATACATATACATATACATATACATATATATAATGAAAATGACATAATCCAGTTTGTAAGAATATTAGTACAAAAATAATCAACGCATAGGTATGATTTATTGTTATTTTGGTAATTATATTTTTTAAAATAGAAGTTAGTAAGACTCAACATGTTCAAAAATATATATCACAGTATATCGTTTAAGAATGTTCAAAACTACAGTAATTTGTACTCATGAATTATATATTGTTGTTTTAGTGAAATAAATATAATGTAAAATTACATAAGTTAAACCTAATCGTTTCACAAGTTTTTATCTATTTATTTATTTATTTTTAATAATGATAATCAGACACTTCTTAAAATATTGGAGGTTTTAAAATAAAATCCATTCACTTAATTATGTTTATTATTGTACTCTATATAGGTTTTTAAGTCCATTTTTTTAATGCCAATAGAGATTATATTATAATTTTAAAATGACTATAGTTTATAGGATTTGGACCCACATCTCTTGCTATAAACGCAATGTATTCCTAATTAGACCATATAATCATATTCTTGTTTAAGAACAGTTCAGTAATATGTGTCCCAATATATATATATATATATACACACACACGATTGTTTAATATCATATTTATATTTTGTATTGAATGTTAATGATTTTCGATTCGATTCGAATTTAGAATTGCGATACAATTCTCATCAATTTGATAACTATAAGAGTTTGAACAGCTACAAGGTGATGTACAGAACACACTATCAATTGCAGACCTTCATGATTTCTTAAAATGTTTGTATCAATCCCACAACTGCACTCTTCTTCTTCTTCATGGCACAATGCATGGAGGCCTATAAATTACTAACAAAGCTCCATTGGAGATATCGCACTCTCTCATCACATCGAGCATTTTGTCGATCATTTGTAAGTTTCTCTCTGCCTACTTCACTCAAACAATTCATTTTGAATAATTTTCTGTGGTTTTTTGTGTAGTCCTTCAGGCTTCAAGCTTTTGTGAGTGCAAAATGTCATGCTGACTGATATTTGTTGCTATATTTTTATTGCATAATTTTATTGAAGAAGGTTTCATACTTGTGTTTGAAGGGTACATTTCCAAACCTGAGTCGCCAAATCCACAGCTGCCTACTTCTAGTGCGGAGTTTTATTGCGAAAACAATACCATGGTTGCTCAAGGCCTGTCTTGCCCAGGCAGAAATATAGACTACTTGTGGAACAGAAACAAACCTTTTCCAAGGTAATTACCATGGCTATTTTTGTTAATTATGTTATGGATTTTCACAAAACTTGCTAAGCTGCTGCTTATATTTGGCAAACCTATTTCCTAACATTTTTTGTTGTTGTTGTTGTTGTTGTTGTTGTTGTCAGTGAAAAAGAACACTTAGTTGAATCTCCTGAGAAATTAACATGGATAGGCGATTTTGGATTTGTGGCTCAAGAACCTTTGCCTGGTGAGGAATTTTTAGGCTGAGTCACTTGTGTCTTGATCAGGTTTTTTTTTAGCTTTAGATTGTTTTTAATCTAAACCTATCAGCACCTGCTCAAGAACTCTCATGCTGTGTTTGGTTGAAGTTTTTGAGGTGGGATTTGGAAAAGGAATAAGAAATGTAATCCTATTTATGTTTGGTTATAATAAAAAATATATGGGAAAAGAAAGGGGGTGAGAAATAAATAAAGAAATAGGATACCTTTTAGGACATCAATTCTATTTTATAACCAACACAACCAAACATAGTTGGGATTTGGAATTCTATTAATTCTTTCTCCTTTTCCTTTCATTTCCATTTCCCTTTCCATTTCCCTTCCCAAATCCCCCAACCAAACACAGCGTCATGGTCTCCAGGAAATATTTTTGTTGAATTGGAATTGCCACCTGTGCATGAAGACCCTGGCTTGCCTAATCTACAACTGCCTGGTTCAGGTGAGGAATTTTTTATTGAATTCAAGTGTCTAAACTAGTTGTTTCTTGCATCGATGGACACTCATTATATTTAATATTTCTTTCGCTGATAAAAAAAAAAAGAAGATCAATACATATATTTGTGTCACTCTTTCGCCACAAGATCACGTTTGGTTCACTTATAAATGATGAGGTTGGACTAAATAGTGTTGCGCTTGGTAGAACTTTTTTTTTTTTTTTTGGACTTGGAATAACTAATTAAGATGATTATAAACCTTATGGCAAGGGAGTTTTGATAATTAATATAATTTAGAGTTTATACTTGAGAGGGTGATTTATACTCCGGCGTTGGGCCGAGGTATAAACCAAACAGGTTTGGGGCCCAGCAGAGCAGTGGGCCGAGATGATCGACTGTTCACCCGGAGATGGGCTACCAGAACTTGGGCCGGGCAGAGTTTGGACTATGTGCTGCCCCGAACCGTGCAGAAGGTGCTCGGCCAGGAAGTGACCGGTCAGGCCAGGATGCTCGGTCTGAGGATTGTCGAGATCAGACAGACCGAGAGGCCGGCGCTCGGAAAGGCGCGGTCAGCCGAGGTAGTTGACTGACCGGCGAGAAGACCGACCAAAGGAGGATCCCGGGCTAAGCTTTGCCGAGATGCCACCTAGCCCAGTCCTTCATTCGGTTATCCGGTCGGGCGCTTAAGGTATGAAGCATGGTATGACCGAGGTAGGGCAGCTCGGCTGCCGAGCTCCAGCTATGCTGGCAGGCAGTTGAGAGCAGGTGATGAACGGCATGGTTTAAGCTGACAGATGGGATAGCAGAGCCACGTGTCAGGAGATGACAGGGAGTGGGTATGGGGCGCAGAAGGTATATAAGCCTGTCTGCGCCCCCCATGCGGAACACACGAACACTCTGTAAGGAATTTCTTACACTCAAACACTCTCTCCCTTCTCTCTATTCCCCCTAAGGTGTGTGCTAATTTGACCGTCGGAGGGTGTTTCCGGCCACACACCGCCGGGTAGCTCACCATTATTTGCTCGCAGGTGATCGGATATCGACGGAGCTCGGAAGAAAGGAATACGGGCACGCCGGAATATATGCTCCCCGTACAATACTCTTCTTTTAACTTTTAATATTCTGTGAGAATTAACCGTTGTTAAACATTTATTTTCAATATATTCTTCGTAAATTCTAGAGAATGATCTTACTTTTGGTATTCTCTTTGAATTAACGGAAGATCATTACTGTACTTCCTCTTTACACATTTCTGCTACATCAGTAGTGAACCGGATGAGTAGCTCAATAATGAAGTGCAATAAATAGAAGATGCCTTAATTCACCAAGGTTAAATTGGATATGAGTATAGCCATTTTTATCTCCTAAACCGGCCACTGCTAATTATGATTAACATTTGAAGGAGGCCTTGAACAGCTACCAGGTGATGGAAAAATCTACAGAACAGAACACTATCAATTGCAGAACTTCATGATTTCTTAAAAAGTTCGTATCAATCCCACAATTGTAGCCACCCCGCACTCTTCTTCTTTACATGGAACAATACACTGAGGCTTATAAACTAATAACGAGGCTCCATATGAGATATTGCACCCTGTCATCGCATTGAGCATTTTGTCAATCAGTTGTAAGTTTCTCTCTGCTTGCTTCACTCAAACAATTCATTTTGAATAATTTTCTTTGGTTTTTTGTGTAGTACTTCAGGGTTCAACCTTTTGTGTGTGTAAAATGTCATGTTGACTGGTATTTGTTGCTATTTTTTATTGAAAAAGGTTTCATACTTTGTGTTTGAAGGGAACATTCCTAGTTCTTGTGAGGACGTTTATTTCCAAAACCATACCCAGGTTGCTCAAGGCCTGCGTTCCGCAGGTGGATTCACACCTTTGCCAAGGTAAAGCAAATTTTCTACGGTATGAATTTTTTATTTTATTTTAGAAGCATGAACATAACAACTTTATATTGTGAAGTTACTAGATTCCTAATTAATCAGTGTTTTTGGGTATGTTTGGTTTGTGTTTGAGAGATGTGTTTTAGAGATAAAAAGTACGAAAAGTTGTTTGGTTTGGTTTTTTTCAAAAGATGTTTTGGAAAATTATTTTGAGAGAGAGTTTTGAAAAAAGTGATTGATTTGATGTGTGTGTGAGAGAGATTTGTTTGGAAAACTTGTTTGGTTTACAAGTTTTGAGAAATTTTTTTGGAAAAATTTGTTTGGTTTGATTACTTTTAAAAACTTATTTGTAGAGAAAATTTCTCAAAATTTTTTTAGAAATACAAACCAAACGAACCCTTTGTCTTTTCTTTTTGTTCCTTTTTTTGGTAATACATTAGAGATTTTAATAAATTAGTAAGAAGATTTGATGTTGATGAGGTTTCTATTATAATTTTCCAGCGTTGGTGATCACTGCAATCAAACAGTTCCGCCACATCTTGTTGAAACTTCCTACGCCTCACTTAATCCCCCACTAATCAACAATGGCAACTCCAATGGAGCTGACCTTGGGCTACCACTGCAGTGCAAAAGAGCCAAGTTGTGCTCGAAAGGGAAAGATCAAAGACGACCCTATAACAAGTTCAGACTTGATGAAACAGACGAACTGACTGAAGGAGTTCAAAAATATGCAGGAATGTATGTTTGATGAAACACAATTTTTAGAGAATACAGGAAACTATTTTAGGACAATTCATGAACAACCGTTATTTTTGTTGATTTTTTTTTCCCCCTTCATTTAATTTGTATCCCAGGCACTGTTGTTGGATAAAAATCAAGGATGAATATTTCAAGAATGATCCCCATAGAACACCGGACAACTTGAAGGTAAAGAGTGCACTTGCGAGTCTGATTTTGTTCAGACACCTACAACTTCTAATTTTTTTTTTTAATTATTTTTTTGGGGACTTTGCAGCAAAAGTGGAAGCATATGATGGAAAGAGATCCCAGTTTGAAGAAGCTCTACAAGCGTGCGTTGATAGCCAATAAGAATGCTAAGTTCAAATCACCCAAGTGCAAACAGGGGCGAATTCTCAAAAATATATAATTGGATGAGTATTCATCATGAACCAAGTTGATCATCCCTGTCTTTTAATTTTAAGTCGAAAGCATTTTTTTTTTTTAAAACTAGAGTAATTAGTCGAAAGCTTGTTATAAGGATTTTAATAGATTTGAAGGATGGTTTGGAAGTTTTGTTTTGAGTGTGCAAATAATGTAACTGCTTATACAAGGTGTTTTTGAAAACTATAATATAAGGAAATCTTTTATCAATGAAATGTGGAAAAATTTATGGTGACAAGTGTTATATCGCTTTGTGTTAATTATGTTATAAAAGTTATGAGTGAAGAACATGTTTACTCTTAAAATGAGAGTTAATAAGAATCATTATAATTATGTTAGGTATGTTGTGATTATGTAAGGAATTGTGTGATGTAAATTTTAGAAACAATTTATAGTGAGAAATGTTACAAATTATTTTGATGATAAAAGTTATGACATGTGACATTCGTCAAGGAACATTATAACTATATTTAGTATATTTGTCTTTTTAAAAGTGTATACCGTAGCATCACTCCTATACATATAAGGGAGAAAAATCATATAAAAGGAAAGAAAAATTATATTCAAAACATAGAATGAGATATAAATGTCTCACAAAATGTGAGTTTTACATGTACGCCTCATATCATGTGAGATCAACCCCTTACGAGACATCTCTGCTCACTAAACATTCCCAAAGTTATATCACCAACATAATTTAGTTTAAAATTAAGAATTTGCTTTCAAAACCTGAAAAATCTCACCCGTTACCCAAGGCTGGACCTAAGATTTACATGGCCTTAAGTGACCTTTGAAAGTGGGCCCCCTACATATATTTTTTTATAAAAAATTTATGAATAAAATAATAATTAGCCTTAAATTTTTTATTGGTTAGTAGTCACAAAAAGTTTCTTACCCATATAATCATTAAAATTTACCTTTATATATTAAAATACAAAAAAAAAAAAAAAAAAAGATTCAAATGCCCTATGGCTGCCAATATATATTGCGGTAACAGAAATGTATTATTTTGAGATATATCACATGTTCTCTATCCAGACCTAATACAAGCACAGTAGCATGAGACGAGTACAATGAGGATCAAACTGAGACACAGCAGCTCCAGCATACATTGATTTTGCACCTTCTGACATTTTAAGTTGAGAATTCTCGTCGAGTTTTTACATTCACTATTTTATGTTATAAATTCCTTATCAGTTCTTTCCCTCATTCCTTTTCTCTTGGGCATCGCACTTGGAATGCAAAGCATTCTTTTCAATCTTGTACTAATAAATTCGGTAGATTGAACACCACTCAATGAAAACCTGTTGGCTACATATTTTGTAAAAGCCAGTTACAGTTCGACACGTGGCAGAGTAAGGGTAATAAAGGAAGGTTATTCAAGCCTTTAATCCTGATCGTACACGTGGCAATAAATATTGGTCCTCACATGATCTGAGTAACACTAGATCAATAACGGGATGCAAGATGACATATCTTCAACGGTTACTCATATTCAAATTCAAGTACAAGAGGGAAACTCAACTACCAGTAATGGCGTAATGGAGCTACTTGTAAGGAAGCATGATCAGCGATCATGGAGGAGCAGTTCGACGGTTCGAAGTGCAGTTCGAAGGTCATCACTGACAAGTATAAATAGCAGGAGAGCCCCCAGAAAAAAGGACGGACTCAGATCATACAAATCAGTCATTTACTTCATATATTTTCTTTTCCAGTCTTTTACATTTCCAGTCTTTAAATACATGTCCTTTAAATACCTGCACTTTAAATACCCGCACTGCACTTCGATTCATAGGAGTAGCTTCAAGTAGATTCAAGTAGATTGCTGTTGTAAACCTCTCCGAGACTGAGTTTGGACCATTGTAAGTGTTCATTTTTATGAAATACTTCAATTGTTCTTCATATTACTGTTATTCCTCTTAATTTCTCCTAGGTAGGTCACGAGCCAAAAAAGGGAGGTATGGCTTTAATCCAAGAAAAAGAGATGCAGGAATTCATCTCAATGGATACTTTAATTAGTTTATTTTTTATTATAATATTAATTTAATATAAATTGATCACAAAAGATAAAGGGTTATGATATATATCTTATGCAAAATTATCATAAAAGACAATAATAAATACAATACACACCTCTCTTCGCAAATGTTACTTACTTATCTTATTTCTTAGGAATCCAATAACCCTGAAACAAAAATCAAAAACCCTTAAAAAAAATATTGAAGATTTTGATTGAACTAAATGATGGATGTATCTAACAATATTGGTTTGGAACAATGGAGTAAGGAAAATGTTAGTTTTTCAATTTTTTCTTTTTCGTTTTCGTGTACTTGTTGAGTGGTAATCTGTTTGTATTTGTTCGGATACCCAGATTCGAATAATGTACTCATGTTCGACTATCTACAACTAAACAAGTTTTAATTGTTCGATTTTCTAGTGTCAAACATATTAAAAGTGTTTGACATAAACACTCCGGACAAAAGGTTAACGTTCAAAAGACCAGTGTCGAACGGTTCGCAAAATGAAATTTTCAAATACAATGCTCATGGCAATAGAAAAACGTACATAAAACTCTAAAATCTAAACCAAATGAGAATTCTCACCTACTATACTCCAATGTGGAGTTGTTTTCAACTGTGATGATAACAACGATCGCCACCAGCGTCTTTGATGAAACAGATAATGAAGAGAGTCGTGAACCAGAAGAGAATGGAGTGAAATTGTTTTCAGCACGAATGGAGACCGGTTTAGACTGGTTCCCAACTCTCTAGGATAACAATGAAGTAGAGAATGGAGGGAGACGTTCACAACGTGTGTGTTTTTGAAGTGGAAGTGTGTACTATAGGAAATATGGAAGATTGAAGATTGTGGGTGGGGTGTGTGCGTGAATAAGAGTAAAGATGGAAGATTGTGGGTGAGGTGTGTGAGTAAAGGTAAAGATGGAAGATTGTGGTGTGTATTGAGCAAATTTTTTATTTATCAAATGCTAAAGGTATGCCTTGAGTAGTGGTGTGCCTTGGGATGAAAGGTAATGTGTAAATAGAGGCACCCATAGACAGCGTATTTTAGAGTGTGGATCTTTGGACAAAGAAAATTTAAAATTGGATTTATGGTCTGAGTGACCTTAATTTTATTCTTCTTTTTTCACTTTTTTTTAAAAATTAAATATCAAAAATATTTATTTTTATGAAATATATATATATGTAAGTTACATTTTTATAACACAATAGAGCTAAAATTATTAAAAAATATATAAATAATTTATTTAAAATTAGTATATGTATTGATTCAAGTAGCGCTTTTATAGAACGATACAACTAAAATTATTAAAATAAATAATTAGAATTATTATTTAAACTTTAAATTATTGCTTCTTCTTTTTTTTTCTTCAACAATTTAACAATTATTTTAAATATTTTATATATTCAAATATATAAATAATTTAACTAAATTTTATATAAAAAATATTTTAAAATAAATATGTCACTAGTATATATATATATCATCGGGCAAATGTCTATTCGTGAAATCCACCAACAATTTTACTTCGAAAATGTAGGTGATTTTTGTAATTTTAAACAATTTTGGTGGCTTGCAAGGAAGTAACAGAGCACACAATATTGATCAATATCGTTACATTTGAAGAAAAGGTTTAGAAAACAAAATGTGATCACACGAAATCAACCTTGCACGTTTTCTTTAAAAATCTATGTGATTGTGCTTTTATTTGGATCAGAGAATAAAAAATAACAAAACACACAATTGTGGATCAATCCCACTACTTTCGAAGAAAGATTATGAGTAATTTCACAATGACAATCACACAAAAATAACCACACAAATGAAAATTTATATAAATTACTTGGGAGCTCCCTTCCCAGCTATCACACCGGCCTTATTTAGGATTTCGAGTTTCGTCTGTAAGTCTCTCTATCAAGCAAATCCTTTTTGGTTCATTTTCCAGTTTCGGTTTTGATGAAATTTTTTAATCAACTTTGAGTTTGTAACCCATCTAAATATATACATATATAAATATATATCTTGCACTCATTTGGATGACTCTTTTTAGCTTATGTCTTTCAAATTGTGTTGTAAATGAGCCGAGTAAAATCGAGTTGAGTATTGAATTGTTTAAGTTTAGTTAAAACTTAATGAGATTCAAAATATATCCAAGTTTAACTTGTTTATAGAGTTAATCTCGAATAAGTTTTTAACAAGCTGAATACAAGCTGAGTTGAAGTAACTAAGTTAATTTGACACCATTATTTTTAATTGAATAGGGCTTGTAGACTAGACAGTCTAGTTGGGTTTAGCATAACCTTACTTTGATAATCTAATCCGCTCATTTCATAACTTTCTATGAGTAAATCATTTATGAAAAAAAAAAAAATCATATTGATCCAATAATTGTAGTTATATTATTTTGTTGCATTTTTCCTTTAAAAACGTAGATGATCTATTTAAAAATCATCCTTACAGTTTCTTTTTTTTTTTTTTTAAAAGAAAAATATGACTTCATTTATTGAATCAATATAATTTACCCCCATGTATAATCTACATATAGGGACTTGCAAAATGAACGGATTGGATCATTAGAGACCCAACTAGACTGTTTAGTCAACACATGATCTATAGAAAATATCTATTTTTTTTATTTAATTGTCTGCTTTTTTTTATTTATTTAATTGGTTTATAGAATATAAAATGATTATTCTATCATAATGTTTATTCTCATGTTTGGCTTTTAAAAATCAATTTAAAAATGATGTTATAAGTAGAATTATCCTTGATCATCATAACAAAATGATCATTCCAAGAAGGATAAAAAAAAAGAGTAGTGATTTGTAGCTCAAATTTGAGCCCCCCGAATTCAAAAAATGACGTCGCTTTTGAATTTCTTTTTTTTTTTTTTTCCAGAAGAGGAAAATCAGAGGAAGAAGGAGGAGAAGAAGAAGAAAAACTGGAGGGGAGGGGGCCAACAAAATCGGGCTGGAGGTGGAGGCGGGGCCGGAGGCGACGGCGGTCGGAGGCGGGGCTGCGACGAGCTGCTGCTGCGACGATCGGAGCTGCTCGACGATCGGCCGGTCGGCGGCAGCAAGGAGGGGCCCTCTCCATTCCCTCCCCCTCTCTCTCTCTCTCTCTCTCTCTCTCTCTCCCTTCCCTCTTCTCTTTCTCTCTTTCGGGCTGTTCGGGGGGGGGGATTTCGGGGGAAAAATCTTTATCCAAAAAAAAAAATGA